CTCTTTTGATTTCTTTTGAGGCAGACCCATTATAATAGAGCACATAATTTCAGATTCCGGTTCTCTCTTGCTAAGGGATTTTTGTGCCTGAGTGACTGGAAGTGCAGGGGAGTACAACTTCACCAAGACTTACTAAAATTTTATGTGGATGTTTGATCTGAACAAAGTTTGAAATAGGTGCACATGCTAGAGTCTCTTGTGGTTACCTGGTACTTTGTATCCATGATCAAATACATCATCATCTTTCAAGCTAAATAATTAGTTTGGTAATAGATGCTTGCAAAGTATCTTCCAGATGACTTCTAGTTAATCGTATCCATCACCCACAGCTGAAGATTTACTGTATCTGCACTATATTCCAAGTAGCTTAGTTCATGCCTTTCTGTGAGTGCATTCTCCTGTCTTGTTCTGGGCAAATGGATGCACGTTGTGTTTAACCTGCAAAAATTCTGCTCTGTGTTGCTGATGTTTCCTCTCCTGTTTCTGACCTCTTTGCAGGTGTCTGGTCAGGAAGACTTTTCCCAACAGTTGTATTCACGGAAACTGCCGGCCCCGCTGTGGCCAAGCTCACTGGGTATAACGGACAACTGCCAGTACGTCACCCTGTGCCAACCAAAGAAGCTAGGTGAGCTCCAGTGTGCACTGGGAGCATGAGTTTGCTGAGGATGGACACTTTGTGGGCTTTGCTGTAGCTTGGGCCTGTGTTGCGTGAGGCTCTTTGCAAAGATTTCCCTCTTCTATCCATTTCCTTCCTATATGAATTAATTTTTCTGGAGTCTATTGCTGTAGCCCAATTTATGCCATTTTCTTTTTCTAGTTCGGGAATGGAATGTTCCCCTACCAGTAACCATTGCTTTTCATATTTCTTTCTTATTCCCAGACTTGTGCATTTTTGCACTTGGAAACTGTGTTCAGCAGCCACAGCTTTCAGCCGCAGGTGTTTGTGGGAGTGGTTTTGGGCAGTATTTGCACACCACTGTTGGGAAATAATTACTAGAAGCCCTGTTACAGTCATGACTGTTCTCTGCTGTCCTCAGAGAGAACTGGAAAGAACAAAAAGAAAGCACCCACACTAAATAGCTTTTTTTTGAATCTTGGATGTAGAACTTATATTTGACCTGATCTTCAGAATTGTTTTTTCTTTCTTGGCAGACATTTCCTTGAGTTGCACACTGATCTGCTTCAAAGTCCTTTGAACTTGTAGTGTCTCACAGGGCACATTCTTAATTTGTTTTATCATGGTGCTGACCATGATTGCTGCATTACCTAAAGGGATAGCAATAACTGTGCTCTGTTCTTCTGCATTTACACATCTGCTCTGTTCTGCATTTTGGTTGTTAATTGATTCTCATTCTCATGGTATCAGCGTGCCTGGGCACAAAAACCTCATTCAAACTAAAGAGGTGTAGTGGGTCTAAAGGTCTAAAGACTGTGCAGATATTCCCTGTAGATGTGAACTTGGTGCAGATATTTTCTTCTTTTGTGGTTTTATCTGCAGACAGGCGTAAGTACAGCCGGGACTTTCTGCTCCAGTTTCGTTTTTGCGATGTTGCCTGTGAACGACCGCCGCTGCTGGTCCTCTTGGAAGGTGTGACAGATGCTAAACCAGGTATTACTGGGAGATTTTTTAACTCATGAGTCTCCTGGCTTGATTTTGATGAAAATGTGAGGTGGAGGTAATGCCTGGTGGGAAAAGGGGAAGGCAGAAGCTTGTTGTCTCTGGCTGTGTCACTACTAATGGATTCTGTCAGAGTTCAGGGGAGTACAGTCTTACCATCCTTGTACACGCTGTGTTCCTTGAGATGCACTGAGGTTAATCCTTTTTCGGAGGCTGTTTCTTAAAAGGTGAAATAAATAAATATATAAGTGAAATATACATATGTATTTCCTTTTTTCTACTTCAAGATTTTTGGTGGAGGAGAACAAGCCTGAAGGCTGTAATGTCACAGTGGCCACAACACAAATGTCTCTGGATGCTGATACGCAGTAGACATTGCCTTGGCTCTGGGCCTTATAACGTGGCTGGTTCTCTTTTCTCCATTTCTGCTCTGCCTTTCTCGACACCCTTTGAGTAAGATGTAGGCTAATGCAGATGAACTTTGAGAGTAAAGGTTGAAGTACCCTAAACTTTGATAATATTAAATGCTTTAAGGACATATCCTTAGCAGGACAGAATACGACTTCTGAGTTGTTTGCACCGATCTGTTCTCAGGATGTTTCTGTTAGTCTCAGAGCTGGAGTTTCCTTTGAATATTTTCTCTAAGGTGCCTGTGATTGGAAGCTATCTGCTCTTCTTGAGCAAAAAGATTCGTTTGGTCTCGAGAGAAGCTTCTCAGACTTGGAATGAGCAGCCTGTTCCAGGATCTGTGTAGGTCTGGCTGGAATCTCTTTGCTCCTTTGCAGACCGCCCTGCACACTGGCCCAAACCTGCTGCCCTTTTACACCCCTGACCCCCAGCCATTCGTCCCGAGGTAATTCACTGCACCTTCAGTGGCCCCACTCTTCAAGAGCAGTCTCATTTTCCTGACCACTCTGGTTGAAGTAAAGACTGAAATAAATGTGAGAGTGGAAGAGAGTGGAAGAGCCTGATCTACCCAGGGCTGTCCCATCAGCTGGGCTTTGTTCGATCAGTGTTATGTTGGTAAGGTCAAGAACGAGGAGCATAGACAGGACTGGGTATTGGAGATAAAGCAGATTGATAGTCTGCTTCCTCTTTGGCGTAAGTGGAGTAAATAATTCTAAGTGCTCACAAAGTAGAAATAGTTTGGACGGTTGCATAGGCAAGGGAACATCCAACTTAGCTGTGATTGCAGTACTGAACACTGCTTTATTCTCTTTTCTTCCTTGATAAATGGTGGCTGTTCGTGTGCAGGTCTTCTTCAGGCATTATCCAACATGGCCTCAACCTGACCTCTGTCTACAGCCACTTCCTGCCACAGAGGGGACGCTCGGAGGTCACAACGATGCCCATGGGGCTTGGAGCTACCGTTGATTACATCTTCTACTCGGCAGAACCTGTGGAGAATGGGAACAGAGGGGGTGAGTGTGGCAACGTGGGGCTTGTCCCTGTGACATTGGGAGAGGGCTGTGAGGTGTGCTGGAATGCAGCTCGGTGTTGGGCAGTGCATTTTCTTAAGCTAAGGTGGATCTCTCGGGTCTAACTGACTGAAATGATGCACAATGTGGAAGCAACATTTGCTCAGGTGTCGTTAGAAGACACTGCTTATCTTTGCTGTGGAAAAACTGAAGTGGCTTAGCTTAGCTTCATGTAGACTTTTGAGGAAGCTAGAACACAAGGGATTCTCTGTTCTTTTGTGTATTTTACTTGTACTCCTGATAACAGGCAGTGCTGTGTCCCACGTTCAAGGCTTGGACTTCTGGTCTGACTGAGACTGCACACTGGCCTTAGAAGGTGGTGACTCTACTTACCTTACAGTGGCACCACCTCTCTGCTACCTGAAACAGGAATTATGTTGGTGAAAGACAGTGTGTAAAGTTCTTCACGAACTGTTGCTGAGCTGGTTTGGATCATGTCAGAATCAACTTTGGGGAGGAGGTTAGGAATGAAGAGATTAATTCCTCCTCAGGGACAGTAATAAGCTATTTCTAGGACTTAGTACCATGAAAGGAGCTTCCCATGTAAGCAACTGCCTGGTGAATTTAGTATGTACTTGATTCCTGTGCCTGTATGCACATGAAACCATTGAATACTGGTATTACAGCATGCTCACAGCTTTCACATCTAGGCTCAAGGTGCCTGCGGTGTTTTTTCATCAGGCTGTCTTTGTTCATCAGGGAATGAATAGGAAAGCATTGATGAGCATCCTTCTGCGAGTATGTAATCTATAGCACCAGTATCTGGCTGATGTTTTTTTCCATTTTCTTTGTCAGGTCGCAGGCTATACCGAGATGGAGCGCTGAAGCTACTTGGCCGCCTTTCCCTTCTTTCTGAAGATGTTCTGTTGCTGGCAAATGGCTTACCAAATGCTTTTTGTTCATCAGATCATCTCTGCCTGCTGGCTAGCTTTGGCTTGGAGATCTCCAGCCTCAGAAAGGGTTAGTGGTGGTTCCCTTTCCTTGAAGAAAAGCTGTTTTGAATATAGCAGTTGAAGCTCTGGATTGCACAACCTGCTTTCAAGAAAACTCTTTTTCTTTTCATGCCCTACAAGTCTGTCTCTCCCCTCACACTCTCACAAAAGGCAAGGATGGGAGAGTTGGAGTGCTTTTTCCATCGGCATTTTGTGAATCTTTGCAAACCCGAGGTGTGTTCCCAGTGGGCTTTCAGTTGTATTCAGGCATTACCATCTCTTAAAGGGATCCTTGTTCCACTGCTTTGTTCAGCAGATGTTTTAGTGCTGTGGGAACCAGCATAACTCCTGTGTTCATTTGTCCCTGAGCAAGATCTTCAAGGAGCTGGCAATGAGAGGGGCGGTGGTATCTGCTTCTGGTTAGTTAATTGCTATCAAGGAGCACGGGATGTATACACACCAGTATTCTTTAACACCAAAACAACGGTTCTCTTAATTTCTGAGTGATAGTTTATGAAGTATGTTCCTTCCGGGACTAGTTGTCGCGTTGGCTGACTGCTAACTGATTGGAAATAGCTTTTACTTAATAATATGAAAGGGTTGCCTTGCGGCAGAAAGGTTTGTGTAGTTGAACAGTTTGTACAAGAAGCTGCCTGCTGTAACCAATGGACCAGGGAGTGGAATTACCAGGAGTGGAGCCAGGGGTTCTACAGAGCCGCCCACAGGAGTTGTAGAACTGCAGCAGAAGCCAAGAGGCCTTGGGGAAGACTCCCTTTCTAGCAGTCTCAGAATGGTACGTAGTTTGGCACTTGCAGGAAAAATGTTTACGATCATCCCAGTGAGTATCAGGTGGAAAAAGTCATCCTGTAAGATATGAGAACCCCAGGAGTCTCTAGCTCAAGGAGGTCCCAGAAGAGATGAAGATGGAAAGCATGCAAGAGGCAGCAGAGCTGTCAGGATGGAAGAGCTCATACTTGCCACTTGCTTTACTCTTTCTCCGTGCCCTCCCAATTCCATTTAGCCTGCTGGGGATCAGATAGCCAGCCTGTACTGTCCTCCTGCACCAGACTGAAGTTCAGACTGTTGCCTTCCTCTGGACCCAGCCGTGGTTAGGTAGTTACAACCTGTGTGATTGACTTCTGTCCCTTGACAGACATTGGAAGGGAGAGGAAGACTGTAACTTGGAGCCAAATTTGTCAGTCCCTGTGTGGTTGGTGTACCTTTGGTGTCATCTCAGTGTGCTTTTATCAGCAGTGGCTTGGCCAGTACAAAACCAATAGAACTGTACCTGTTCCTAGGGCAGATTCCCCAGTTCAGCCTAATATTTGGTACTTAGTTTTTCCCTGATTGATGAGAGCAATATTGGCAGAAACATTACCAATCCTCTGTTCACAAATGAGCCTGGGAAATCTGGTCCCACCTCAGGTTTTTGTGGAAAGGTACAAGGAGACTTGATATATTTTTCTCTCTTCCTGGGTTATATTGGGGGACTTTCATATTTTGAATGTTACTTTCTCTATTGAAAAATATTTTTTTTCTATCCTAAGAAAAGAAGCCCGCAAAGTAACTGCAACACCTTGTGCTCCTGGCAGCTGAACTCTCTGCAGGCTTGTTCAACAAGGCTTTGCTGGCTGCAATATCGAGGAGAAGAGGACAAATCAGCTACACAAGATAGTGGTAACACAAAGGTTGAAGAGAGGGAACAAGTGGGCCTAGTTGTTGTCTCCCAGCACATCCCCAAATCCCAGAGGTGGTTTATTTGGCACTGCGTTTGTCTTGCAACATGGTTTCCATTCAGGAGCCATTCCTCTCTTCTTGAAGAAAGCAAGTTCTGCTGATCTTTTACAGGTCACTTCTTCTGTAAACTGTACAGAAGCAAAGGAGGTGAGTGAGGATTGTGTTTGGTGCCCATAGGATTTTGTAAGGACTGTATATCTCCTTCCTGCCCCTGCCAGGTGATGTGGTATTCGCCTGGTGATGTGTGAATGGCTTTTACTACCCCAGCTGGGATAACATGTAGGAGTGTGTAAGTGAACAGCAGTCTGAGGGTGAATAAATTTGCAGACTGGTTTGCCCTTAGTTTCACAGGTTCTGAGGTGGCGCTGATGTTTGTAAATGGGGAGGGGTGTAGAGCTGTTTATTTCTATGGTTCTGTTTATCTGAGAGTTGCACTAATTACTGCAAGTATTCTTACTCTGATTTTGTAGTTGGTTGTATTTGTAAAGGGGGAGAAAGAAAACAAAACATGTGAGCCAAGAGCTTTATTTTTTGCAAGGCTTGAAAAGAGGTTGCCAGAAAGCAGCCTGGTTGCAGATAACTCCCACCAGCTGGTAACATTGTAATAGGAAACCTGGAAGACACTAGAGGTTTAAAAACAATCGACCAAAAGCAAAACAAAAACCTCTGTGACACACAGTGTTGGCACTTAAAACTTTGGCTGTCTGCTTCAGTTGTAATTGCTGGCTGGGTCTGACGGTCAGTTGATGGGGGGGCGTGTTTACGTGAAAGCTGCCCTCCTGCCCCACCTACTGAGACCTGAAAGGTGTTCCTTGTACACCTCAGATGGACTCAGATGGTTGCCCCTGCACTGGCTGAATCACCCTGCCAATCCTGTGATGTAGCTGAGGTGTAGGAGCTGTGCTTCAACATCTCAAGCACTTTTTCTATTTTATTTAAACCAAAGACTTGAATTTTCTTTTGTGTAACTTGCATAAAGGCATCTCTCAGGGAGATTTTAAAGTTCCAGCCATATTTTGTTGGAAAATCTAATGTTCTACAGGTCAAGCTAAAGCTTTCTCTTTCAATACATAATATGATATAGTATGAACTTGGAATGGTTAAGTTGTCAAGCATTGGATATGGAGTCATGTGCTGAGAAACCCCAGGACAATGCCTGCATTGTCTGATTCTTCTTTCTGAAGGTTAGAAAATTCCCAGAGGGAGCTCCAGCTACCAAAGCCCTGGCTCACACATGCTTCCTTGGACATTAATTTGTGAAACTATTGGCAGAAATGCAGAACCATTGCTAGTGACTGTATATGGGCACATGAAGGCAGAGTTGAAAAGTTAATTGTTGTGGTGTCCCTGAAGCTCTCTGGTGTAGACCCCTACAGATGTGGCCTGTTTCAGGAAAGAACAAAACTTGTATTCTAGAACAACTGAGAGTTAACATCAAGTCGATCTGGAGACCTATGAATGCCTCTGGCTGTGGGGGACAGGAGAATTTTGGAGGTGAGGCAGATGGAAAGATTCCCTACCTCTAAAATAGCACCTAGTGTGTTCAGTGATGCTTTAAGAATAGCACCCAGTAATACAATAAGAGGCTGTGGTAATGAGCAGCTCCTGGTGGGACACAGAACTAAGATTCCAGCTGTAGCTCTTAACACTGTTTCCTGACCTAAATGCCTGACTAGTTGTCAACAGCGCAGCTTTCTGATGAATTACAGAGGTGTCTGTAAACGACTGTGGAAAGGGAACAACTGGAGTATGTGCTATACTCAGAAAGGGAAGGTATTATAGAGGTGGGTTCAACTACATCATCTTAGTAGTGATGTAGAGCTCAGGGAAATTGGTACTTAGGGGCAGGGATGCCAGAACCCGCTGAGAGCGTGTGCGCGCATTCCCTGTTCTCGGTCTCCTAAGCTGCAGGAGTGTGCAGCTGTGGAGGCGACAAAATATCTTTGCTAGACAACAGATTAGATTGCACCAGCGCTAGATTACTAGGCTGTATTTAGTTGTGCTATTTAGATGGAAGTCAGACTTCCTTCACTTTCTCAGAGTTCATCACTTCAGGAGGATGCCCTTTATAATCAGTTTCAACAATTAAATGTGATGGGAGGAGTGGTAAACAATATAATTGCTCTAGTTTCTTTTTTTTCCTTGATAAATAAACCTTGGCTGCTGCTCGAGGTCTTTGTCCATGCTTTTTCTTTATGAGATATCTCCAGCAGCTGTTTTCCCATGACTGTTGTATTTGGTTATCTTTCTGGGTTACTGATGTTTATTTTTTTCTGCAGCTGTATTTCTTCACTGGAATTTTTTAGGGCCAGATCTTATAAACTTAACATTTAAATGGCATCAAGCCATAAGATAGTATATTTCCTCACCCCTGAAGAGTTAAGCAGGAGGGGTGGATGCTCTGAAACCAACACTTAGATGGGAACAACTCTTGTTATATAAAACAATTAAAAAAAGGGTTAAGTTTTTTCATTAGTGCCCTGTATGCTGCCTGTGTTACGAAGCACAGGAGAACTCTGAAATATACTTGACCTTAGTTCTTCTCTCAGGAGTCTCTTAGAGGCTCTGAGAACAGTTCAGCATCTCGGACAAAAAAGGTATGTGTCCTGCTTCTAATGATGTTCGAGAGTGCTGTTGGCAAACAATCTACAAAGCAGGATATCACTACAGTGCAATTTCTCCTCTCATTGACACTACCCCAGTAGGGGACATTTGTTGGATGTACCGCTAGGAATTTGCAGACGTACCCACCATCCAAATGCAGATGAAGCCTTTTGTGGCTCATCTAGAGGAGGAGCACACAAACCTTAGTGGGATGCCATCTCCTTTCAGTAGGCTTCCTGTTGTGCAAGTTAATTAATTGCTGACTGTGACCTTCTCCTTGCCAGACTGTCAGTCACCTCACACTGAAATGCGCAACCTGCAAGATCAGCGCCGCACCGCATGTTTCCGAGTATGATAGCGAGTTTCTGCAGAGAACTCACCTGCTACAGTGATAACCAGGATGACTGATTTAATAGCTGGGGTGCCTCAAGCCCCTTCTTTTTGTCAGTTGTACAAGTTTGGCTTCTTGTCAAGGCAAGTTATCCTCCAACATCCACTGAAAATGTCACTCTAGTCTTGAAGCTCTTTCCTCTTAGTTATTTTAAAATTTATTTATTTTATTTCAGACCTAGACTGCATTTTTTTGTGCTCTAAGAGAATAGGAATGCTATATATTAGAGCTGGAAATTTTTTCCTAACTTTGGTTAGACAAACAGCAACTTTCAAGGTGCTGAGCTGGCAGATGAGGGGACTAGACTAGTTGCTGGCATACGCTGCCACAAAAGTTGCATTTGTTCCATCCAGTCTTTCCTTTTATACACAAAAAAACATTGCTAAGGCT